GAGCCAGGTGGCGACTACGAGGTGTGCCACATACCTACAAAAACGTAGCTCATCTGATGAGCACTGTTTTCAGAATCTGGGCAATTTGGAAACAGCAATCCCACCGTCACCTCCGGAAGAAAAGCCCGCGGCCGCTGAGAAGAGTGCACAGAAAAGCGAGCGTACTTGCAGCACAAAAGACGACGGCGCCTCAAGTCAGCGCGCCGCAAAAGGCAAAAGAAGCCCAAGTTAGCGCGCCGCAAAAGGCAAAAGAAACCCAAGTTAGCGCACCGCAAAAGGCAAAAGAAACCCAAGTTAGCGCGCCGCAGAAAACGAAGGAGTCACAAGTCAGTGTAGCACAGAAACCGAAAGAATGCCAAGTCAGCGCTCCACAGAAGGCGAAAGAACCACAAGTCAGTGCACCACAAAAGGGCGAAGGTGCCTCAAGTCAGCACGCCTCAGAAAACTAAGGAGCCTAAAGTCACCGCCCCAGAAAAAGCGAAAGTGCCCCAAGTTAGCACGCCTCAAAAGGCTAAAGTTACCCAAGTCAGCACACCTCAGAAGAAGAGTGCGCCTCAAGCAAAACCCGCTACTCAGAATAAAAACACACCCAATAAATCGACTCAGCCTCAACTCAAAGCAACAACCCCACCGCCAGCACCCACTAAATCCCCCGCGGTCACCCCATCTAAAAAGACACCATCAAACGAAGATCACTCGGTGGTGAAGACGGCGTTACTGGTTCGACCGCCCAAGGATCAGGTAGGTGGCATCCTTTGTTAGAGACTATGATCTGCAACTATCATATAATGCATTTCAGAAAGCTGTAGCAAGTCCCTGGGCCAGGAAATTACGATACCTTGTTACCATTGCGCCTTCAAGCGAAGTGTTCTCCAAAGTTGTGCCCGTAACTAATAAGACGAAATAAATGACTATTAACAATGAAACGATATTACCGTTTCCAACTAGATATTCTGCTTTGTACTACACGTGAGCCATATATGAAATAAAGTCTGGGTGTGTTTTCGAGTATCGCAGCCATGATTTTATTGTTGCGGAAGATTCCTATCATGTATAATAAACCTTTTGGTAAACGGCAACATTTGGCCAATCAATGAAGATAAGTAGGTTAGGTTGTTGCATTATGAACGTCGTTTTTAAAGATGTTCATAAAATTCGTTCGATACGGATCACTTCGGCTTCTCAGAACGAGAGATAAAAAGGTGTTATATTATTGTGCCAGGTTTCGTCATTCCTCACGCAGACTCGACGTTCTTCTCGGAGAACTGTAGCAGTTGTGCGCCTGGACTCTCGTCGGTTCAGAGGTTTTTGTAAGTTCTCAGGCATCGTTTCTTCTGCGCAATGTGTCGCTTTGACCCGGATAAGCAGCGCTTAGATGAAGCATGACAGGAGCTGTTCAGAGGATAAGTCGAAGGTTTTCAGTAAGCCTCGCAGTTTTTTCTGTGGTGATTTTTTACGTGAAATACGCCTTGGTCGCCGTTCGTCTCTCGCTCTCTCTCTCGTTGAGTCGCCACGGTTTCATGTAGGTTGTGTTTTGTTTATGAAAGCCTGACGGTATTGCTCGAATTAATTACTTCGTGAGATGTGGTAAGAGAACTTCACGTGTATTAACTCAGATTTCGGGTGGCAATCTTGAAATGTAAAAAAAATGATCATGGACAAGCAAATGAGAGCGATTTATGCTTGAATGTATTTATATAATAAACCAGTTTTGCTCCGCCCGCTATCGCGCGCATCACACGGCAGGCTTTAGCGAAACTGGAGGGTTCCATGGAATATCAGCATGTGGTACTCCATTAACCCCCTCACTATCAAATGTGTTAGATTTTTGCCCTTATCAGTTGTAACCACTTTCCATCACCTACCAACAATGTCCCCGTCCCCCCACATGACACCTGCGAGTATGGACGCTGTAGTGTCAACGCAAGCTGCGTAACGGAATCGACGACTTTTGCGTTCTGACGCCCCTTATCAGCCCTTATCAGTTGCTATCGCTTCCATTCACCTACCAACAATGTCCCCGTCCCACCCCACATGACACCTGCGAGTATGGACGCTGTAGTGTCAACGCAAGCTGCGTAACGGAATCGACGACTTTTGCATTCTGACGCCCCTTATCAGCCCTTATCAGTTGTAACCACTTTCCATCACCTACCAACAATGTCCCCGTCCCCCCACATGACACCTGCGAGTATGGACGCTGTAGTGTCAACGCGAGCTGGGTAATGGAATCGACGACTTTTGCGTTCTGACGCCCCTTATCAGCCCTTATCAGTTGCTATCGCTTCCATTCATGTACCACCAATGTCCCCGTCCCACCCACATGACACCTGCGAGTATGGACGCTGTAGTGTCAACGCAAGCTGCGTAACGGAATCGACGACTTTTGCATTCTGACGCCCCTTATCAGCCCTTATCAGTTGTAACCACTTTCCATCACCTACCAACAATGTCCCCGTCCCACCCCACATGACACCTGCGAGTATGGACGCTGTAGTGTCAACGCAAGCTGGGTAACGGAATCGACGACTTTTGCATTCTGACGCCCCTTATCAGCCCTTATCAGTTGTAACCACTTCCATCACCTACCAACAATGTCCCCGTCCCACCCCACATGACACCTGCGAGTATGGACGCTGTAGTGTCAACGCAAGCTGGGTAACGGAATCGACGACTTTTGCGTTCTGACGCCCCTTATCAGCCCTTATCAGTTGCTATCGCTTCCATTCATGTACCACCATTGTCCCGGGACCACCCCTACATAACACTTGTAAGTATAGACGCTCTAGTACCAATATGAACGACAAAACGAAATTGGCGATGCTCGCTTTCTAGCCCCTCTTATCAGCTATTATCAGTCGTTATCAGTTCCTATCACGTACCACTTGTGTCCCCATCCCACCCCCTATAACATATGTAAGAACCATGGCGCTATCGTTGCTGTGACCGAGCTACGAATTTCGTGACAAACACACACACACACACCACACACACACACAGACATACTTAGCGAATTATATATAGTAGGAATAACAGGGTTTCCACGAAGTTCAATACTCTTCTGTACAAGATGGTGTCTAGAAATAAATACCTGCGCCTATATTGCAACAAGCTGATAGTTTCAATAAAGTTAGTTTTGGGATGATTCTTGGTATAAGCTCGTGCTGTGAGCCAAAAGAAGTAGGCGCGATAAACCTCATGGGGACGAGCAGGAAACTTTGTGTACGTAACAGTGGAGTGCTTTTATGCAATAATGGAGACCTAGCAAAGAAGAATGTTTGGGAAGTCCAGGAGTGAAGGCTCGGTAATTTATGGAAAAAATCTCCTTGTATGTAGGTCTTCATCGGCGTCAATGATGTGCCAAGCAGAAACAGAGATTGTTTATTGAGCACGCGATCAAAACAGAATATTAAAAGTTGAATGATGCGTAAAGGTAGAAAGACAAAGAACGATGACAGCGGAGTAGTCACCAAGGCAAAAAGGAAGGGGAACTCCTCGACTGGAAAAGCGCTCTTCGCTCGACCGAAAATAAACGACCTCAGGGTTTGCTCCGTACTCGAAACCAAACATTCTCCGGCATATTACATCTCGCAACATTCTTCTTTCAACCGGAGGGCCTTATGGAGCATCCTTTCAGTTGAGTGCGACTTTCTCAGCCAGTGCATGCGTCGTGTTAATATTAAAAAACATGCAATCATTCGTGTACTTTGGTTCAGTCCAACTATGGCTGTTTCTGGCATAAGCCACGCCGCCTATTTTGCAAGGAACCCCCTTCTTATGAGTCGATTCTTAGTAAGCTTTTCCACCAACTACAATCGTTCGCGCTGACTGTTGCATAAAACTGTCACTTGCCAGCAACTTTTTTCAAGGCTTCATCCAATGTATTCAGTCACCGTACTTTTTCCACGACTGGACATTTTCTAACGAACACGGACTCGATGCGAAAGACAACGTTGTCGCCGTATTCACAGTACTGTGTGCACCCTGCCGGCATTTTTGTTATTTTATTTCCTTCTCAGTTTCAGTCAGTGGGCCATACATCTGCTCCCGAAGGGTATGATTCTTTCAGCTGTCCTTGTGGTCCTTCGAATGCTTTCTATCACGGTTGCTGCACATTACGGGTGGGTCTTTCTTTCATTGCTGGGGTCTCCTCGGTGTCCACTCAAGGGGAACTTCGCGAGTGGAAAGAGAACGAAGGGCCAGACACAGCCCCTAGGGAATAGCCGGGTAGGAAGTCATGATCTATACAACATGGGGTTCATTAGATATGATAGCATCGTGTGTTTTACAGTAAGTATCCAAGGGGTTAGGTTCATGCTCATTTGTCATGCAGCCTGTGAAGGTGAAGTCAGAAGATTTGCTGAAGCATCCTGTACCGAAGCGTGCGTATGAAGTTTTCACCTATTTTGAAACCTTTGGTACGCAGCATGTGTTTTGTTCAGTTAACCTGAAAGCAAAGCAAACGGAAGTGCGGAAGTTATTCTCTCTTAAAGCAGCAGATAAGAAAGAGCATGATAGCAAAGAAAGAATATGGAATAAATAGTGAGTCAATCTAATCGCAATTGTTCCCTGCTTACAACATACTGAATCTGCCGCTGCACAGACCTTTCCGTTGAAAATCAATAAGACATCGCAATACGATGATCTGATAGTACGCGAAAGGTGGTTAAGGGATTAGGTTGGGGTTTCCGCGGTACTCTATGCATGCAGGACAGACTTTAAGTAACTCACTGGGTCTGAGCACTCCTGAAGTGTGCATGTCGCACGGCGGGAATGCTGGGGGATGGTTTCTGCTCCTGTTGAGCGAGAACAAGAAAACCGGTAATAAAATTGATACATATGGGCGAGCTTGCAGGGACTAACAAACAAGACAATTGTGGCGCGGTGGGAAGGGATATGAGGACATGCCAAAAAGAACATGAAGATTTGTAAAGGTTCGAAGCAATAAGTGGTCTCGGTAACTAGCAAAATGAAAAGGCATTCAACATTCAAAAAAACCGAGGAAAAATCAAACATGTAGTAAATAAATGCTCAAAAGTAGAGATCCTAGCTATTGTAAATAAAAAAGCTTAGGTTCCCATGCAATGTTTCACTAACTGCTTGGAGTCCTCTGCAGATTTATCTTTTTTGACATTTTTTTCGTTAGCGGCAAATTTCCCTCTTCGAACAGCAAACCCGGTTTTTGGAATATAAAGAAGAAATGGAGACTTCCTCAGGAAGTACAATGCCGTGGGCTGAAGTATGCATCCTTCAGAGTGCTCTGCAAAATTGAAATTGTCGTGATTCCAAGCATCAGGCCCTGTTGGATCTTGATGAGGACCATAGCCAACCGTACCGGAAAGTCATGTCATCAGTGCTGACAGGTCATCCTGAAGTGACGTGCAGGATCCTCTTCCGATTTGTGAGGTCCTTTTGCATAGGCTACCGAGGGAAGCACGCGACATAATAGGTGGTTTAAATCGTCGACCGTTGGATGGAGATCAGGAACTCTCGAGATGCATAATCGGATGTGAAATAGCACCAAGAACATTCAAGACGTCTCGCTCTAAAGAGAAAAAAGCTAGAAAAAGTGTGGATTTAAGGAGGTATTAACTCTTCAGAATGGAATGAGAACATGGCATCATAGGCTGGGACTAAAGAGCGATAGCGGGTAATCTAGACACGTTGTTGTGAACAGGGTAGTGAATCAATTATGGTTGTGAGGATAGAAACGGAATCGGAATTGGAGAAGACCGACTGCGCGAAACACGAAAAGGAAGAGTTCGATCTGAGCTTTGAGGAAGCCATCGTCCATTCTGAAAGGCTATCCTCATTCTATATCGGTGATCTGACGAAATCATGGGCGCGTCGGCTTCCGACGTAGAACAAGATTTGCCAACAGAGAACAACGATTGGTATGTAAAGGGA